TCATTTCCTTCACAATGTGGCTGCTTCTTGAGTTTAGCCCCAGAGGAAGTGGTCAGCTTGTATTTCAGGGCCATTTGTATAAAAATGTACATCTTTAAGCTACCAGGCTCAGTTAGGCTAGTGAAAAATGTTCATGCGGGGAGTCACAGGTGACGATAGGTCAGACTGGGGTTCCCCTTGTTATGCTCACTTGAGGGGGGGGTGCACCTTAAGAAAACTCATGGGCAAATTCCTCTGCACTTGGTGAAGATGTCGCTTCCATTATTACTTTTTTTTTTCTTTCAGAACAAGAAGAATCGGGTTCCTTTGCGTTAGTGCATGTAAAGCTCATACCCAGCAGGTAAATATGTGTGAGTATGAGGGGGGGAGTAGCGGGTTGAATGAGTGGAGATGTGAGTGAATGAGAAAGGAGATGGAATGGGGACTGAATGGAGACGTGCGTGGCTGAGTCAGGGAAGGAGAATGTTGAGTCAAGAGCTACTCAGTGTCATGAGGGTTCTGCTAGTCTAGTAAGGGCTCGCTAAGGAGTGTGTCACGCCCCCGCCCCCCTCCCCTTCCCTTTCACCAGCTGCTTTAATCCATACCTACCTAAGGGCCCTGCGCCCTCCCAGCGCGTTCCAGGGGAGAACACCCCGATCTATGCGGGTCACAGAGGCACCTGTTCCAGGGATCTGAGAACGCCCTGATGTGGAACTCGGGGCTGACGCAGCGTGGCCGCGCAGCCAGCAGTCCTCCTGGCGCCGTAAGACACACAACCGCAGCGGTCTTCGGACGCGAGGTTGCAGCGCTCCCGCAGGCGGCCCCTGGTAAGTGTCCCCGCCTGTGCGGCTGCACCTGCTGCTCCACGGCGTTCCCTATTGGGAAAAAGCAAAGCTGTGGCTGTCCCCAGCTCATCCAAATTTTGGGCTGCCCTAAACCTGGAAAACATCATGGCCCCCTCAACTAAGCATAAATAAATTAAAGTGTGTAAAATAACTCCAAGAAAGTCTAACAAACTTCTGTTTCACTCCATAATGATCTCCCAATTTTAAAAAAAATTGGTGGGGTTACTGCAATCCCTGGTTGGCTAGTGTTCCAATCTTATGTTTAACATTCCACCAGGTTATGTGGCCTGGCTGTGTTTTTACAGACTCCTCCTCTCTCAGAGCTGGCATTTATAACACACATAGTGGCCTCTCCCAGGGGTCCTGTAGAGCCCTTCATGAGTCAGGCTTTTTTTTTTTTTTAAGGCAGATTGTTAAAATTCAGCAGCAGAGGAGGAGCTGGCCTCCCCTACCCCAGCTCCTTAAATATTAGACAGTAAACATGATATCTGCCTGGCAGCCGATTTCATTCATTCAAACAGTATTTGCTACGAGCTTATCATGTGTCCAAGACTACAGATTCTGTAGTGGATAGACTGAGGCCCAGGGAGTAAGTGGCACTTGCATGATGCCCCCTGACCTGGACCTCTGGACATCTCAGCACTTTCCATTGTCACACTGGGCCCCAGAAGTGGGAAGCTTTGAGAGTTTTCCCAAGAACTGCAAACTCAAATTCCTGCTGACTCCAGGCAGTTACAGGAAATGTGGGAATTGCGGGGAGAAGGACTTAGGCCGTAGAGAGGGAGTGGAGCCTGCAGCCACGAGAGAGAGTGCATGACTCACATTCACACTTTAAAACACTGCCTGCTAAGCAGAACTGAAGGCAGGTTGAATTTGCTTTGCGGGCCTTGAGTTTGAGACCCCTGAATGAGAGGGTGGTAATCCGGAGGCCAGAGTACCTGTGGGGCTCTCTGAAGGCCCAGCTGTGAGAACGGGGGTAGATCTGTTCTCAGGGTACAGAGTGGGCTCAACACAGAGGGCACAGAAAGGGAAAGGCCTGTGTGGGCGTCTGGAAGCTGGAGAGAAACCAGTGTCCGGGAGAGCCTGGTTCTGTGTGTGTATGTTATTTCCAGGTCTTGGGAAAAAACACATACCACAACAAATTAGCTCAAGGGCAAGATAGATGGATACTTGAAAATCCTGATTCCCAAACAAGCGACATTCATTAAACACTTGTTATGTGCTAGGCACTGCGCTAAGAGCTTTATATACATTATTTTCTGCTGAGGGTGGGTGTAGGTATCCCCATTCTACAGATGAGGAGACTGAGGCTCAGAGAGGTAGAATCACATTGTCAATGAATGTCAGGTATACATGAGTCATGCTTTTAGAAAGGTGCATTACAGATCCACTTAGGACCAAAAACACTCTTGGATATAGAAAAGCTCCTGGACAATATGAAATTGGAGCTGCATAAAATTCCAGAGTTGAAAGAGGTCCCAAAGTGAGCATTCTTTGCCCAGACCTTATCAGTCAGGTAAATCCTGTGACAGCCTCTACCCCCACCTTGAGGGCTCTTCCAGAAATAATCAAGCTACGGAACCCACCTGTGGGAATTTTCCAATGTTAGATATTTTTCTTCAAATACGATTTACCAAAATTCAGTTAGTTCCCAAACCCTCTAGAAACCATCTAGAACATATTGGGGAAAAACCAGATGTTCCTATATTGTCAGCCACTATTATCCTATCACCCAGCAGCTTGAGAATCATTTTCATGGTAGTGGATCATGTAAGATAGGAATGCTCTCAGCTGCAGTGAACAAAATACTTGATAAGAAAGCCTTAAACAATAGTGACACATTATTTCATTTAACAAGAAGGTAGGCAGTTCCAAGGATGGGGCAGTGGCAAACTGTCAATAAGGACCTAAAATTTCCCCCATCTTTTTTCTTTGTTCTCCTCAGTGTGACATGTTCTCCTCATGGTCACAGTTGCATTCAGTGTGGTCATGATTGCTGCAGTACCAGCCATCATGCCTTCACAATAATTTCCAAAAGTGAAAGCGAGAAGGACATGGACAAGTTCTTTTTGTCACAAAATAATGGAATAGACTTCTTCTTATGTTTCATTGGCCAGATCTGGGTCACGAGCCTATCCTTAGACCAATCACTGACAAAGGGAAGTGAGGTTACTATGGTTAGTGGGAACCAATCACAATTCATCCTCTGAGACTGGGCATATTGAGGAGAGACAAAGTCAGAGTTCTGTTAGAAAGGAAGAAGTTAGCGTATTCTTAGAGTCATGCTAGCTGCTGTAACAAATATTAATATATCCCCACATTTCATTGGTTTATACAACAAATTAATTTCTTACTTTTGTAACAGCCCAATGAGGATGTTCCTAGTTGGTAGGTGACTTCTTCTACGCAGTTGACTTGGGGGACCTGTCATGTGGCTCCACCCATCTATGGCTCCTTCTCCCATATGGGGGAATAGAAGATGGAAATGTCACACCCACTTCTTAAAAGTCATGGTCTGAAAGTGACGCACTTCCCCTCTGCCCACATCCTATTGGTGGGAATTCATCACATGGCCTACCCTGGGTTCAGGAGGAGCTGGGAAGTGTAACCCGTCCACATAGCTACCTCAAGCAATAACTCTACATGAAGGGGAAGTGGCTGTTGGGGAGGCAGTGAAATGATCTCTTACAGAGCTGATCTTATTACATCATTGCTTGTAAGGAACATCCAGGCCTTTCCAGGCCTTTTTGCCGGTCACTTCTCAATGCGTACTGCATCTACACTAGTCCACATAGCATTCTCTGAACGCCCCTTTATTCACTTGGCTCTCAACCTTTGCCCATGTTTTTACACTTTACCCAGAATTCCTTCTCCACTTTTCTTCTCTGCTTGGTGAACTCCTATTCATGTTTCAAAACCCAAATTAAAAGTTGTACCCTTTTTAAAGCCTTTTCTACTATTTTATCCTGGGCAGGATTTATAGCATCTCAAAGGCTGACTTATCACTGAATTCCTTACAATGCTTAGCACACAGTAGGGGGCTTAGTTTGTGTGCTAAATGCATCTAAGTACTTTAGGCATGAGAACTCATTTGGTAGCAAGCGATAGAAGACATCTCAAATTGCCTTAAGAGAATATATTGATTTCTCTTCAGGCTTGGCTATATCCAGGGGCTCAGCTGATGTCCCCAGGGTTCAGTCTCTCTTTGTTTTCTTTGTGTTAACTTTATATCTCAGGTTTCTTGCAGAGACAAGATGGCTGCCAGCCACTCCCAGCTTCATTCACCTAAGTTCAAATGCAGCAGGAAACAGTCTCTTACTACCTGTGCAAACTTCAATTCCACTCTTCACTCTGCTTGGACTAGCCAGGGTCATGAACCTATCCTTGAGCTGATCCCTTAGGCTAGAGGGCTGGGATTATGTAGATTGGCCAGGGATCTGGCCCTCTGATTGGCCCATTCAGAATCATATGTTCCAATCCTGAAGGTGGTGGAGTGGGGTCAGCCCTAGAGGGACAAAAAAATGGTGAGAGGGTGTGGCTTCCCACAGGGAATCCCAGGTATTGTTATCTGGAGATAGAGGAACACTGGGTGCCCTTCAAACCCTCATAAACACTCATTGCACTGGACCTTCAGCACAGGTAACAACCCAAATCATACCAGCCACTGTTTACTGAGCACTTACCATGTGCCAGGCTCAGTGCCGAACACGCTCAACAACCTGTGAAGTGGCTTTTAGAATTTCTATTTTCCAGAGAAGGAAAATGAGGCCTACAGAGTGAAGTGACTTGCCCAAGGTTCATAAGTGGCTGAGAAGGAATTTTTGCTAAGATCTGATCAATGCTTTAAACCACTGCACTGCAGGACCCCAGTGGGTGGCAAAGCTAGAAGTTTCTGCCTTAGGAACCTAGTCCATGAAGTCCAGGAGTTGGGGTACAGTGGATCTCACAGCCCTGTACGGCTCATAGGGTTAACATTGTCCCCTCCTGTGAATACCTACGGGCCAGATGAGGTTCAAGTTATGATGTGATAAAAATGCCTCTCAGTACCACTGGGTCCTGCTTTAAAAGGCAAGGGGTGTGGGTGCCCCCATAGCTGAAGTTCGGCTAGTCTTGCTTTAACTCCATC